GCATTGTCTTCCTGGTGTTCGTCACCTCCACTCAATCTTGGTAGAGCGTCTGGGGCTCCAAATCTCTGAGTGGGCACGTACTGAATGGTGAAGTCCTAACTAAGCAGAATAGTACTCCACCGTTGTATCTTCTTGGCCGCATACTGCGGCACACCACGATTCATGCCAAATAAAAATTTGAGTGGTTGGTGATCGGCGTGAAGCAGAAAGTGTCTTCCGTAAATGAACTGATGAAACCTCTGTACTGCAAAGATAAGTTATAGGGCTTCCTTCTCGATTTGACTATAGTTTTGTTCCGCTTTTGTGAGTGATCGCGCGACAGGCATCAAGGGCAGGATATTTCCATCTGTACTTTTCTGAAGAAAAACGCCACCTAGCCCATACTCCGAAGCATCCGCCGGGACTATCGTTTCTTTGTTGGCTTCGAAATATGAGAGCACAGCCGACCCACTAATCGTCGCCTTAATTTTGTCAAAGGCGTCTTGACAGTCAGGGGACCATTCAACTTTCACATCTTTACAAAGTAGCTGGTTTAACGGTGGCTTTAGACTATGTGTGTGTTAGTTCGACCATCGCAAGCGAAGATATCCACCATTTGTACAAGAGCAGGGACGGTCACTTTGGTCAATTATAGTGATGGTAGGCGCGCCACTACCTACCCCACTCAACCCTCTCAACTGTGTTTAAACGGCAACGAGACAAGTCGAGACGGGGGCGTAGGCCGCAGCCGTAAACACCGCCCAAGCTTAGTATATAGTGAAAGAAGACTTTGTGCCGGCACTACTGCACTGTCTACTCTCTCTCTCTCTCACCTATAGTAGGCGTCTAGCCTGATTCTAAGAAGCCAGGCCTCTTTCTGCTAAGCAACCACTACTGCTATTTCTAAGGTTATTGTTAGGGTGCATCTGAGTAATATGTTCGCTGGCACTATTTCAGACTGTATTGTAATTCAGAATTGACGCTGCTTTAAGTCAGCACAGGGTTCATATCCCCTCAATCCCAACAAGAGGTGTAGTAGTACTGGTACCACCATTTGTCAGCGTTGACGCTGACTGAGCCTTCACTAGGGTTCGTACACCCTTGATCTGAATAAGGAAGGTGAATCTAGGTTTAACTGTTTCGGGAAAGTACATGCTTGGGGGCCTGAGCAAAGCTGTGTTTACCTTGGTTTCCGCACTCTCAGCTCTATCCT